TGGCCTGACGAGATGAAGGAGTGCGTCGGTGGCCGGGGATCGAACCCCGAACCATGTGCATGGTCGGCGAGAATCCTAACCACTGTGCCATTGACGCTGGATTTATGGCTTTCTCACAGACACAGTGAAACAGTATTAGTTTACGGGATTAAATTTAGTATTGGTCAGAAACATATATTCATTTGTAAATCTACACAACTTCGAAAGTTGACAATAGTAATAATAAGGACGACATGCATGACAAAAACACACAGGAGGGAACCTCTGAAAGCTTACGTAGAATTCTTAACAATACGGGAACGAAAGTGGCATTCAAATCAACGAACTCACTTAGAAAAAAACTGTGTTGGTTGAAGCATCCTGTGGGGCCTATTAAGCGAACAGACAATTTAGCTTATCTAATTCTATGCAATGATTGTCGCGTCAGACACATAGGTCAAAGTGGTAGCACAGGGTCAGTCAGACTAGTGGAGCACAAACACAGCAAAATCTAGATCACTTGACCCTAATAAGATCAGAAATCTAAAAAATAGATCAGCTATAGCACTACATGCAATTATACACAAACACAACAAAATGGGATAAGATGACAGTTCTAAAATACAATATAGCGGCTCATTAACACCATGCTCGCCAGCCACGCACCTGGTCTTGTTTCGATTCCCGACCACCGGCTCACATAAATTCGAAGACTTACAGGCGAGAACCAACAGGTTGACATAAAAAGCAGCAGAGACAGGACCCTAGGTGGTGGTGTACTACTGTAATCTAGCTACTTGGAGGCCAGCCAGGGTGAGGAATTTCGTGGGACCTAGAGTTATTGAATATGGGTGCTCCTGTTGATCGAGCGTCCACGCTAAGCACCGTGCCGATATAGATGACTTGTCGCAGGTCCAGGTCGACTAAGGAGGGGCGGACCGGCCCAGCAGGCAAAGGTAACCGCGTGGTGCGGTAGCGGGACATCGCCTGTGAATGGTGGCCATATGACAGCTTTTCCCCATACATCACCCACAAACACAGGCTAGCAAACCTGCCTCGTAAAAGCAAAACCACCGTCCCTGAAACCCCTAAGCTTGAAGCTCTTTATTTCATTTTGGGAAAAAATCTGCCTGACATTTTATTTCGCCCTAAATAACTTTACTTCATTTTACTGCACTGGTCTCAATTTCGTGGAATTTTCAATCTCTGCTTATGCAACAGTTTCAGTTTAGCGTCAGTTATTGTTTTTCTGGGCATTTATTTATTATTTTTCTATCCTTCTCAACACTAGCCGCGATCAATTCGCCTAGCATCCATCACATACCTGAATGAGGCGTCGACACCATTCCTGCAAATGTAACTATGGTTACAAAGGCTGTCTCCAATATGAAATGAGATAAAGCAGTTCATGGATTGATTTCGCGTTTTGTTTTGACCCACCCCTACACTCTTCTACAACCTAATCCTATGTCAGCTAATATTGCTCAACGAGGAAGACACTAGATCGTCATTCGCAACACATGCCCTGTTCAGCAGTTCGCTCCGTCCTTCTCTATGGTGGTGAGACGTGGCCATTGAGAGCGGAAGACATGAAAAGGTTGAGTGTTTTTGACCACAGATGTTTACGATCTCTTTCTCGCGTTAGGTGGTATATTAAGGTAAGTAATATTGACGTTAGGCGTAGAGTATTGGGCAAAGAGGGAAAATCAATCGAAGAGGCTATAAAGTTACATAGATTGAGATGACTAGGTCACGTGCTGCGCATGCCTAACCATCGCCTCCCCCGACGAGCATTACTTACTAGCTGATATAGGTGCAGGTTGGAAAAGAGTAAGTGGTGCCATGCCAAACAAAAACATGGCCTCATCAATCCATGAAATCCTTCCTTGACAGTTAAACTGAGTCAGGTAGGGAGATGCAGACTTCTTCCGGGTTGGGGCCCGCCCTCAGGACTCTAAGAATCAATGGCTGGAGACAACAATAGGTGACATGGCTCAAAATCGTTGTCAATGGCTTACGCAGATGTATTCAGTCTCTGTAATCTTTCATATTCCTTTCTACCATTACTCATTCTGTTTCACTCTTATACTTGTCAAAACTCTATTGATTCTCTTCACTCATCATCTTCTTGTCCACCTTTGTGTGCTATTTGGAACGTGGCAACTGGAACTGCTGCACTTCGGTGCCAAGTTCTATGTTGAATCCAGCCAGCCAGCATGCCCTAACCATCTCAGTCGATGTACTATACTTGTCTGACGGTTTTAGTGGGCAACGCCTTTGGTATGCGTAGCACTTAAGCTAGAGGCTTCAATCTTTGCAGCTTCATAACCTAATCGATTAGTTTTTTTCTTCTCACCGAAGAGTCTACACCTAAGCTGAATATCACTAATCATGTTATACCAATTTAAGACGCTTAGTAGAAAGGAAACATTCTGTGATCAGGTCTTTCACTTTCAACGGCCACGTCTCACAGCCGTAAAGTAGGAGATAGCAAACGGTCAAAGATTTCATGCATTGATATCAAGTTTCAATCTGACAACCCTCTTATTGTTTACCAGCCTAGTCGTACGTCAACTAACATTGATCTACAAAATGGATAACTGGGTAATCTTATCGGCTCTTTCACGAAAACTGTAGCATTTAGCCTGTTTCAGGTAATGCAGCCTAAAATAAATTGAGCATGAACGAGTGGCAAGAAGCGAAGTAGATTCAGCGCTACCTGTCGATTGTCGCTAACATTAGTTTAGGTAGCTATGATGAGTCTCTTGTACTAAAGTTATTTATTGTCTAGAAGACAATAAAAGCCTCTCAACTAAGCTACACAGCTCAGAGAACGTAACGATATCAAAAACTTATAAAATTGTACATATGACAATCGTTACAACGCCGTGACCAACCACTTGACGTATTACATTCCTATGATCTCTCTTTCTCTCTCTACAGCACTGAATAAGACGTGTGTTTGATACACCCAGTGGGATAAGTTCTTTTGAGGTTGCAGATACTCCCTGCTAGCCTGCAGCTGTCAGTAAGGAGGCAACTTAATCTCAGAGTTTCATGTCGATCCATATTAGTTTGTCTATTAGACATATCACACAGTGAAACAGTATTATTTACTGGATGACGTTTCGAACAAAATTTATTGTTCATAATCATATCAATTGTAATCACACGACTTTGACACTTTAGTTTTATAGTTTTCTTTGTCTTCTCCTATTTGTCGTCGTTGGGGTAGTAGAATTTTCCATATATCTGGGACAGGTGTTGAATCCTTCCCATTACATGTAGTTGATTCGATAAACGGAGCTTCTGTTATCAATCTCTCCCTATACCCTGTGACATTAGATTTTAAAACTGTCATCCTATCCCATCCAGCCTATTGTATGCTTGTGTGTAATTGCATGCAGTCAGTGGTATGGCTGAACTATTCTCTAGATTTCTTATCTTATTCGGGTCAACCAATTTGGATTTTGCTAAGAAGAAAAATGGTTAGTTTTGACATTGTCAGTTTATATATACACGTCTGACCAAGAACTCGAACTTAGGAAAAAGTGCCACTTGAGGACATAATGCTGGGAGTACAGCTATGCCTGACTTCCACAGTATTTAAATTCCAAGGGGAAATATACAAACAAACTGAAGGAGTTGCCATGGGATCACCACTATCCCCAGTTGTAGCAGATATATTCATGGATAGGTGGGAAAGCATAGCGATTGAAACTTTCACCCCCACCCCAAAAGTATAATGGAGGTTTCAATTAACACAGGGAGAAAAATTATGAAATACATACAAAGATTTCTGTCTTCATTCATATATATATATATATATATATATATATACATTACTACTAGTTTTACGACTACTACTATAATATTATTATTTTTATTCATCGCGTTTTGACACACCGATATGCTAGTGTCTGAGAGTAATATTACTAGGGATGTAGCTTACTGCCTTCAGCAATTGCATTGTTAGATTTAAATTCCACTCTACCTACTTCAATCTGAGGAACTAGGTAATATATTATCAGCCCTGAAGCAAACACATTGGCACTTTCAAAAAATGCGGCTCACAAACTGTAACATGAAACATCTTTTTTATTTTTCCGAGAAATGATTTCAAACAAAACGAAAAAAAGTCTAACTCGAATTCACTCATTTGGTTATTAGTGGCGGTTAGTAACAAATGGTTCGTGTCGCTCACATCCTATTTGGATGTATTTCCACCTGCTGCAGCTCTCGCTAAGACTTCAACCTTAGTAGTGGGTAACACTTTAGACATCATAAAACACTATTAACTCGGATACAATAGCCACTACTTATGCGATATATATCTATATATATACATGTATCAACCTCCTTTACCTACCTGGGAAGCATCGTTTCAACTACAGGCGGAACTGACGAGGATATCAAAGCAAGGATCGGAAAAGCAAGACAAGCTTTCATTACTCTCAAGTCTGTGTGGAGGTCAACAGCACTCAGCATCAAAAATCAGATCCGTATTTTCAACTCCAATGTGAAGTCAGTGCTACTTAACATACGGATCAGAGACTTGCACTGTGAGTCATAAAGAGCATCTCAAACAAACTACAGACCTTCATTAACAGTTGTCTTCGCTCAATACTCAAGATCAGATGGCCGGCCAGAAAAGATCAGCAACAGAGATCTCTGGCAATGAGCGAACCAACACAGCAGGAACCAAGATTGTGAAACAAATAGGCAGGAAGAAATGGCTGGCCATACTCTGAGGAAACAAACCATCAAGTGACATCACTAGACAAGCCATTGCTCGAGTGGAACCCGAAAGGGAAGCGGCGAGTTGGTCGTCAGTGCGAGGGTGACTTGGAGGAGGTCATGTGAAGAGGAGATGAAAGCATGTCGGTGGCAGACTTGGAGCCAGGTGAAGACTCTAGCAGAGAACCGAACGCAATGGAGACGCGCGGCTGAAGCCCTATGTTCCTCTAGGAATTAAAGGAAACAATAATAATAATATACATGTATATATAATATCGTGCTGTAAATAGTAGAATTCAACAAGTCACTTATCCAACATCTTTTATGTTTATTCAGTTTTAATTTTTTTATGTACAAATTTTTCCATATGAATCAATTGTTAGTTAGCCAGGTCAGGTATTGTAAAAATAAAATTAGTTTCGAAAACACGTAATTTTAACAGTTGGCTGGCTGACTTATGAAGATGAATGTGAGTAGATTAGAACGAAGAGAGAGAGAGGGACAGTTGATTTCTGTCTTTTGGCGTTTTTTCCTTCTCCATGTGAATGTTTTTTCTTGCTAGTCTCTGAGTGGTTGTCGATGATGATGATGATGACGCTGTTGCTGGTGATAAGTGTAGACATACACACAATACAGAATGTCAATCATGAACACAGAACGTATGTAACAGAAGTTGTTCAATATTTTTTTTTGTGTAGTTTTGTTTGGATGAGTAAGTTTCAACCCTTTTATTATTATTACATAATAAAAAATATATTCTATTCAACATAATTGGATAATAATAATAATAACAAAAATCAGCATCACAATACAAACAGAGATGTCTATAGAGTGTGTGTGTCACAGGAGATAACGAGAAAATAACAAAGAAATGGTGTTAGAAAATCAATCAATCAATCAAAAGCGGAATAGCACACACACACACAACATTTAGAGGAAATCGCGAAAAAAAGAAAGAAAATCAAATTAGTGTCAAATGAATCAGTATCAGGTATTATATCGAGACTATTCAATGGTCGCGCTAAATTTCAATATGTCCAGTGTCCACATTGTGAACACATTGAATTAGACATCTTGTATCACAATACACTTGGACATTGAACAGTATTTATTTCAGAAAACAAAGATTGTTGTTACCGAATATATTTTAGGCATAATTTTCACTGTTATTATTATTATTATTATGTTTTATTAGTTTGTTTCATTACTTCTTTAAACCATTTATACGATAGTCGAATGAAATAATTAAATCGTATTAACTGTGCACAACACGGTCCTGTCATATGTCCACCACCCATCGGTCGCATTACTTCACGATTACAGCAAGACTTAACATACTGATACACTGTTGGTTTTAGAGGATAATTATTCAAATCACTATTTGAAAATGAGCGTGATGGTGGCAAGAAAAATAATGGCGGTGATGCCTTTTCACGAATAAATTTACCTGGATTTACTTGGTGCAGGTCTTCTTGTTCATCGTGTTGCCGCCTCTGGTTTCCTTCCAGTTGTGGGATATCGTCACCAGTGCCCTCGGATGATAAGAATTCATTTTGGTACATGGGACTGCTGACTAGTTGTTGTTGTTGTTGTTCCTGTTGTTGAGTTGCACGAAATGCTGTCAATGATTGAATTATGCTCGCTTGTTGATGGAAACAGAAAATGATTAAAAATATTGGATTCATAATGATAATATTTCTCTTCATAGTTTTAATATTACCGTTATTACTTAATTATTATTATTATTAGAAGTAGTAGTAATTCCCTTTCTTTAAACAATAATGTGACTGACAGTACTTCGGATAACTAACTGCCCTCTTTCTTTATGGATGCTGTTGTTGTTCTCCGTCCGAGGAAATCACAATGGATAGAGTAGGATATCTGTTGTATGTTGCTTTTGATAGAGTAAATTAGTCAGCTGTTTCGGTAGTATATATATACTTATATTGGGGTGATTTATCTTCACGCCTATTGGTTAATATGCGTAGGTGTAGTAGTAGTAGTGCAATCACATGTCTATGTATATAACACTTCGAAGGTCATATAGAATTCCCAGATCTGATTGGTCAATTACTTTGGTCTATCATCTTTTTTAAATATCTTTTTATTTTGCTCAATATTCTTTTCTTTTTTCATTACTTTTGATTAACAGTAATGTTCTACAGGGAAAAGTATTTTTTTTAAAAATTACAGATGCTTTATACAAAACTGTTTTCACCCCTTATCCCCTGTATATACATACAGTTTGTGGCACTGTGGTAAAGAGTATACTTGCCCAATAATAGAATAACAATTTTTATTGGATATTACTAACGCATATTGAATGAATGATGCATTGTTTCCCACTGACGGTTATCCACCATCTCAATAAGCCAAGATTAATGAGGAAAGGGGCGATCGGCAGTAGGCATAAAGTAGCTTATAAAGCAGCAAAGCGAATAGCTTACAAACTGACCTTGAGAAAAAACCAATCAGATTGTTCTTCTGTCTTAACATGTACTCTATTTAAGTGTTGATCCGTAACTCCGTCCTTATTTTGCATTTCAGTTAGGGTTAGGTGTGGGATTCACGTTAAGAAATATTCGTTTATCTGAAATATGTGTTTCTAATTGTTAAGGCATGTCACCAGGCAATTCTCAGTGGTTGTGCAAGGTCATTTGGTAGGTTTAGATAATCATTAGAGACCAAGAAGCTCCATTGAACATCTGTTTCATCTTAGTTTCAAAGTCTTTAAAAGTCCTCCCTCATGACCTCAGTCCCGGGAATCGAACCGATGTTCTTTAGTTTACTGAATGAGACTTTTGACAATGCAACCACTTCGTTAAGATTCAGTGACCTGTGAACTTTAACTTCTGCCAGTTCGTGATATATATATATATATATGTCATCGGTGAACATCCGCTTCAAATCGGCATGCTGTAGCTCACTGGTCTCACGACTATTCGTTGGGTGATGCGGGTGTTGTCTATATCACAAACCGACAAAAGTTAGAACTCATTGGCGGGCCATTGGATCCCATCACACTGACTCACCTCGTAACCTAAAGTGTGTTGGGTACTATCCCTGATAGTGTGTGGCGTACACTGCTGCAGAGTTCCGAACTAAGATGAAGCGCCTATTCAGTAAGTATTCGTGATTTTTTAATGATTTTCTAACTGATGTCAATTCGTGATCTAAAAGCCTTAATCCGATCAGATTCCCGTAATCTCTCTGACTTCATTCCCATTTTTTAAGTGTTATGATTGTCATGATTGGGGGTAACTGATTCTTTGATTGTGTGTGATTGTTTAGAGTTGGTGGGTGATAAATGAGGGTCGCCGGAGGATTTAGTGAAATTCTAACCTTGTTAGCAGTTGGTGACTTGTAGGTCAGCTAGCGGAACACCTAACTGACATTTCGAAAGCCGTCATTCGATCGTATCAACGCCGCAACCCAGATTTTGCATTTCACCAGCTTCAATCATGTCTCTATATTTCTTCATTTTAATGATTTAGACCATCTTGGAAATTCATAAATTTCTCTAGGTGTGCTCATCAATTGTGAATACTGTATGAATATGATTGTTATTCGTAACTTGGGTTCTTAGGGGAGCAAAGGGACTCAGCTAGGGCAGCCGTCATCTATTCTGTTCCTTGCAGTCATTTCTAGTTGGTCCCACGATACCCAATAAGCCTTCATTTCCTTACGATCTCTCGTATGTCACTTAGGGATGCCGAATTCGTCGTCCCCTATTCACGTTCCATCAGACGATGACCTACCAAGCAAATAATCTTACTCATCGGTTTTCTCATTGTATTTCCATTACATCTCTCTTTCTTTCTTCGAATTTTTTTTGGTTGATAGGTTAATGGTTTGGTTCGTCGCCATAGCTCCTTATTGTTTGTTTGCCCTTTTTTGACTGGTCATCTAAACCTACGTGTCAAGTTGAAGGATCTGTTGATGAAAGTCTGCAGTGTACCATGTAAGAAATATCGTTTATGACACGCCGAGGACTGACTGACCTGACATTAGTGTTCATCGAAATTCGGATCTTGTTACTTATGCCAAGTGCTGTTGACCACCCCTTTGATCGAATTCATAGTAGTGATTACCTGTCTTGCTTTCCTGATTGCGACTGGCTTCGCCACCATCACCACCGTCTGTATTTGAAAAGATGCTGTTAAGGGAAGTGAATCTAGACAAATTGTGGTCAGGCATTCTCTGTCTTTTCTCTTTTCCCCTGAGAAGTCCTGTCTTCGCTACCTCTTCTGCCAACGTTCTCGTTTTCACTTGTAAATACTAAAGATTTTACAGCGTGAAGCATAAGTCATTCACAAAGTACAGAACTTCTAGGGTCTTCTCATCGATCCAGCATTGTATACCCATTTATTTAATTTCGATTGTTAGATGTCGTCATGGACCGGCATCAGTTAGAGGGATCAATGAAAACCAGGGAGCACTGGAGTGCTGTCTCGTTCGTCTTTAGGACACCTCACTTTGGCAACCCATGACGCCAACAGGGACTGGGGACTTTCAGGTTATGAGACGAGACCAAGCTTGTTAACCATTCAACTCTCCCCCTTGGATTTTAGCTTTTTAAACTCGTGATAAAGCGCTACTCTCATCAAAATCGAACCGGCTAAATTAAACTACTCAAAATCCCCACATTTCCCATTCCATACGAACATAAATGAATATATTGTGACAGAGAATAAGTTTCACTTTATAACTACTCAGTGTTTGTCTAATCAATACGAAGTGAGTGATAATTTGCTAATGTAATTAGCAATGTAATCCAAAGCCTCAGGATGGTCGGGGGTGGGTGCCTTGCGCTGCGGGTTCGCCACCCCTCCATACACCTCTTGAAATGCTCCCATATGACCGGGCGTCTTACATAGCCTCTCCTGAGGAAGTCCTACTCACTGCCTTCACGTGGCGGAGGTGTTTTTCACCAAACTGAGAGGGCGAAAGCGGATGCCCGGCGCTCTTCACCGGGTTGACTGTCCATTGGATGACAGTCTAGGGGAGATGGCTAAACCCTGATTCCAAACCTCCAACGACTGGCGTATGAAGCTCACTGGAGCTCACCGTCAGACGTATGGACAAAGGGCTTGTTGGATGTCCTGGATGTCTGGCCCCATTCAAAAAGGCGTATGAACCGAACTCCGGTGACCGGCTGCCAATGGATAGTGAACTCCCTACTCCACTCCTACTGCCTTGTAGGTCACACTTGGTTGTGTAAAGGCTAGAGCTGCACTCTTAAACAAAAGGCCGAGCGATTCTGGGGACATCACTCGTACCAAATTCCCATGAAACTTCATGAACTCTCTTACAAACGATCAGATCGCCGCGCCTGGGCAGCGATGATTCGAGATGTTCATGAAGCCGGCTCATCCTCCCGTAGGAGATAGCCGAAGTAAAGTAAAGTAAGTAATGTAATTAAGAAGAACAAGAAGTGGTAATATTCAAAAAAGTACATATTGATAATAAATAAAATGTAGTACGCCATACACTATTATCACCAAGTTTGAATTTAGCTCAGGTCACCAATTGGTGACGTTCACGTGTGTGTGTGTGTGTGTATGTATGGTCGTAAATAATTGCATTCTTTTTTGAGATTGTAAGTTGAGCTTTTTTGTCGAAATAGGATTTGCTGCAGTTATTTTGATTTCCCCTTTATATTTGACTGAATTGTTTGGTCTCTGCTGACATGTTAAACTGCCACCTAATGTAAACTGTTTGACGATATCTTTTGAGATGAGCAGTGACGTTACTCAGTTGTTTGGTTGGTTGGTGGTGATTTGCACTTAAACCCAGGATGTGCCTTTCCTCGGCTGTATCTGAGAGTTGTAAGCCTGATATACCTGTATCCTAGTGAGTGTTCCCAACTGACATTCAAAACCTAGTAGCCATGCTTTCAAATGTCAAAGGTGTATTATCGCGAGAGCCAATTTTTATTCGTCTAATGAGTATCAGTTATTCGTAAATACTGGAAGAGATTGTTATATTAAATTTCGATCTGATGGGTCGATTATTAGAAAGAAATACTAAAAATCCTTATTGTCGTATCGGCTCCTGTCACTTGGACACCCCGATGTCTTCTTGAAATTAAGAACACGATTTTTTTATTTGGTTGGTGATGGGGAATTTCTCATTTCACTCATCAGAAAATTCAAAACAGTAATAATGATAATAATATCAGTGGTGCAGCACATAATACGCTGAGTAAACACTCGAGTGATATCCCGCGTCAGGCAAGCTATTGAGTACAACCCTGAATAGAAAACTGCGAGTCAGGTCTTGATCGACGGTGATATGGAGGCAATCGTGTTAAGAGGAAATGAAAGCTTGTGAGGGGGTAGTTGTGAAGTTAACTGGATGCTCTATTTTCCACTCAAAACCCAATGAGAATAATAGTATAATATCAATTTCAGTGGTGTGAGACACTTGTTATCATGTGTGATTGGTTAGAATTAGTCCGATTTTAAGCTTCCGATGAATGGTATTTGGTCGTTGAAAGACAGATAGATAGTTGCATTTCAAAGCAGCTATTATTATTGTTCCCTTGGGTTCCTACTGGAACATATGGCTTCAACTGCACGTCTCCACTTGCTTCTGTCTTCTGCTGCACTTTTCACTTGCATCCATGTTAATCCATACTGTTTCAGTTCCTGTTCACACGATCTCCTTCATGTCACCCGTGCAC